AGCGGGCCGCGGCAGCGCCCGTCGCTGCTGGAAAGGCTGCTCTGAAGAGCCGAGCAACAAGTGAGGTGTTTGTGTCCGTGTTCACCATGAGCAGTCCTCAGGAGGCTTCTCTGAAGAATTTTGTTCTGTGGGAAGGTGCATCAGCCAACCACTGTCCTCCGGTGGCTCAGACCGCAGTGTCTGAAGTGAAAAAAATAACAGAGAAGGCCAACAAAATGGGGATTAGCAAATGGACTCTGCCAGATGGTATTTACCAAAGCATCCAAAATTACTTAAATGCAACTGTACTATGAACTATAGTAAGCTCACCCATATGTGAAATGGCTTTGGTGCCAGAAGGCTGGAGTATAGCAAATGTGATACCAGAGGGAAGTAAGAGAAAACCTGATGTTTTCCCCAGGAAAAACTGATAAAAATTATAATAAAATCATGGAATTTAAGAGTATAAGAAGATTTACAAGGAGAAAGAAGCACATCTTTTTTGAAGGAAAATAGCTCACAGATCAGAAGCACAGACATCGCTATATAGTTGTATAAATCCGTGCTGTTCTGAAATCTTCAATGTGCAATCCTTGTTTCTTCCTCTGAAAAATAACAGCAGCAACAGAAAAACAATAGAGGTGCAAAACAAGGATACTGCATGATTTCCGTATGAAAAGTAGCTACTTTAATATAAAGATGCACCAGCCTAGAGAAGGAATCACAGAATCACAGAATGGTTTGGGTTGGAAGAGACCTTAAAAATCATCTAGTTCCACCCCCCTGCCATGGGCAGGGACACCTTCCACTAGACCAGGTCACTTAAAGCCCCGTCCAGCCTGGCCTTGAACACTGCCAGGGAGGGGGCAGCTGCTCTGGGAAACCTGTTCCAGTGTCTCACCACCCTCACAGGGAAGAACTTCCTTATATCTAACCTAAATCTAACCTCTTTCAGTTTAAAGCCATCAACCCTTGTCCTATCACTACATGCCCTTGTAAAAAGTCCCTCTCTGGCTTTCTTGTAGCCCCCTTTAGGTACTGGAAGGCCGCTATAATGTCTCACTGGAGCCTTTTCTTCTCCAGGCTGAACAGCCCCAGCTCTCTCATCTTGTGTTCATAGGGGAGGTGCTCCAGCACCCTGATCATCATCATGGTCTCCTCTGCACCTGCTCAAGCAGGTCTATGTTCTTCTTATACTGGGGGCCTCAGAGCTGCACACAATACTCCAGGTGGGTCTCATGAGAACAGGGTAGATGAGGAGAATCACCTCCCTCGACCTTCTGGCCACACTTCTCTTGATGCAGCCCAGGATACAGTTGGCTTTCTGGGCTGCAAGCGCACATTATTGTCTCATAGTCAGTTTTCCATCCACTAATACCCCCAAGTCCTTCTCTACAGGGCTGCTCTCAATCCACCCACTGCCCAGCCTGTATTTGTGCTTGGGATTGCCCTGACCCATGTGCAGGACCTTGCACTTGGCTTTGCTGAACTTCATGAGGTTTGTGTGGGCCCACCTCTGAAGCTTGTCAAGGTCCCTCTGGATGGCATCCCTTCCCTCCAGCATGTCAACTGCATCATACAGCTTGGTGTCATCAGCAAACTTGCTGAGGGTGCACTCAATCCCACTGTCCATGTCACCAACAAAGATGTTAAACAGTGATGGGCCCAGTACTGACCCCTGAGGAATGTCACTTGTCACTGCTGCCCACGTGGACATCAAGCAGCTGACTGCAACTCTTTTTGAGTGCAACCATCCAGCAAATTCCTTATCTACTGAGTGGTCCATCTGTCAAATCCATGTCTCTCCAATTTAGAGACAGGGGTGTTGTGTGGGACAGTGTCAAATGCTTTGCACAAATCTAGGTAGATGACATAAGTTGCTCTTCCCTTATCCACCAGCACTGTAACCCCATTGTAGAATGGCAGAAGGTGGATGTGCTCGAAGTGTTTAACATCATGAGTGCGTGGAGAAGGTGAATCCAGAGTGTTGTGTTCCCAGTGAGAACTAGTGGGCACCAAACGAAACTAGCAGATGAGGTCTTCTTGGAAGACTTCCACATTGTGCCTCACCAGGCTGTGGAAATGTGTTCAGAGTACTGGCAAACTACGTGCTTTCTAAAAGCAAATTCCGCAAATTTGTGAAGTCCATCTTAGGGCCATCAAAAATGTATAAAACCAGTTCTACCTCAGTAAATCCCTGAACTACAGATTGCTGGACTTTCAGAAGGTATAGTGAACACTGGGTTTTTCTTTTCTTTCATTCTTTCTTTAGTCATCTCCCACTGGAGAGATAGTGCTGACCTAAAAAGGCCTTGGTGTGGTCCATTATTCTTGTTCTTACTTTCACGGACAGGCTGAAAACTTAAATCTTGGCCCCTAGGAGTCTACCAAGGAGATGGTTATATTAGTTTAATTTAAGATATCTAGTATATAGCATTTTAGCGTTAACACAGTTTGTTTAATTTCCAGGGCATTAATATGACACTAGATCTATGGCATGTGTTGAGCACAAGCTCTTGGGTCCTCTGTCTTCTGAACTTGTGACAGACTTCCTTTTGCTTATGTTTTTATATGTGAATATAATGACCAGTTAATCTACATATGTATGTATGCATTTAGTTATTCTTTATACTTCTGCCACTATGTTACACAGCTCCTTGCTAAGCACAAATGAAATATTTTTACAGATGTTCGCAACCATGACTCAAGGAAAAGGGAGTCTAGTCTTAATGCAGTGTCTATGAGCATTGCTCTGAAGGCAATTCCAGAAGCGGAGGTAGGGGACACTTAAATGTATGCTGTCAGACAGATTTGGTTCTCAGCACTGTTGGAGATAGATAGCCTCCTGCTCGGTGAGAGCTTTGTCATGTATGGGGATATAGAAATGATAACATTGAAGAGGCAGCATTTAACCGCTGAAAGTCTGGCCCTGATGAAATTCGTGGGAGTCTTGTCACTGAGTTAGTGCTTCCTTAGATTCAGAAGCATTTCCAAAAATGATTAACTTTATGAATAGATTAAGTAGCTGTGAGCTTTCAATGGAGTTTGGATGCACACGTAATGAAAGTGGAGTGTTGAGAAAATTAACAAGCAGATCAAATGCTGTTAAGTAGGTGTAAATAACATTAATTTAAAATGAGACACACCCACACAGTCTCTTTGGATTGGTACAGGATAGGACACTGTAATGTGAGACAGTTAAAATAGTACCAGCATAAGAAGACGGGTGGTACTATCTTCACCATATCCATGAAAACTACGTGTTTTTTTGAATAGTTTCCTGCTGTGTCAATGGGATAATTCAATTCAATCCACATGAGCAACGCTGACACAAACAACAGGGTCCTACAGCCAGTGGTTCTAAGTAAAATCCAGAGAGGGAAATTTCAGCATAATTAAAATCCATCAATCTGTACATATGTGTCCAAGCATAATACTTAGTCTACGATACAAGACTGAAGACCTTCAGTAAAAGAATGACAGGCTGTGTTTGAGCCTTTAACTGAAAAGTAGTAGCAGGTTTTATATAGTCTAAAAGAAATATGCTGAAATGTACAATTATACCTGTATGCTTTGCTTCTACACTGAAAGAGACAATGAAGAGTAGTAGCTGCAAGAAGCTGATGCAGCCATACCGGAGCAGAGTAGGACTACTCATGAGAACATTGAACTTGGGATACCCACCTTTTTTATTACAGAGACAAATATATACAATACTGAAAGTATCTCATGGTTTTACAGTTAGGTCTTAAACTGTTGAAGTCTTTGACCTCACAGTTACTTCAGGCTTTACAAGAACCTCATTCTCAGATGGTGACAAAACCTCACAACTCCACTGGTAATTAATAGCTGTCTGTTCTTGTGCCAGTTTGGACAAAGGACAGTTTTAATCTTTTGCATTTTCTTTCATTCTTAAATTTCCACGTGTGAGCTATGAGTCCCAGATAAAATGTTGGGGTAATGTAAGGAATTGAAAGAAGTGATGCCTCAAACATTCATCAACACAGAAAACCTCAAGGACAAGCTGTGGCATTTGTATTAGTCTAAGGAATGTCACCCAAGGAAACGGGAGTGTATCGAAGCATGCACCCCCCACTCCCTTGCAGTTGCATTGACAATCCTTAGATAAGCCTCAGAGGGGGAGACATAGACTGAGAGAAACCAGGTGTTTCCCCTCAAGCACAAGTACCTAACCCAAATAGTTTATAGCTCTATTGTGCAAGGCAGACATCATGCCTGCCTTGCTAATGAATTTACACTTTCCACATTGAAGTGGTAACAATAACTGATAAAAGGTGATCCTCAACTAGAACCTATACCCATGCTCCACCTTTTTCCTCATCTCTGATGGAAATGAATTTGTGGAATACCTGCCCCTCCTCATCTAGTATGCTAATAAGATGAATTTAAAAAGGCAACAGAAACTGCTCTGTGTGTACCCACCACCCAGGATTACCATACCTGAGACAATGCTGGATCCTTCCCTTCCCTTCCCTTCCCTTCCCTTCCCTTCCCTTCCCCTCCCATCTTTCTAATTTCATTGCATTCCCAT